GGCAGCATTTTGTTCTTACCAGAATACTTACTTTGGATTAAGATTTGCCTTTCCTGCACACAATGCTTCTGCCAAAACTACCATCCATGGACTTACAGAATGCCTTATCCACCATCATGGTATTGTACACAGCATTGCCTCAAATCAAAGGACTCACTTCACAGCAAATAAAATGCAGGAATGGGCCCATGCTCATGGAATTCACTGGTCTTACCGTGTTCCCCATCATCCTGAAGCAAGTGGCTTGATAGAACAATGGAATGGCCTTCTAAAGACACAATTAAGGAGCCAGCCAGCTGGCAATAGTTCATGGGATTGGAGCAATGTTCTCCAGGAAGCTGTATATGCTCTAAACCAGCATCCAATATATGGTGCTGTTTCTCCCATAGCCAGGATTCATAAGTCTAGGAATTAGGGAGTGGAAATGGGAATGGCACCACTACTACCCCAGTAACCAACTCACAAGATGTTTGCTTCCTATTCCCATGACCCTATACTCTGTGGGTCTAGAGGTCTTAGTTCCAAAGGAAAGAACGCTTCTACTAGGAGACACAACACTGAGGCCACTGAACTGGAAGTTAAGAATGCCACCCAGCCACTTTGTGCTCATCATGCCACTGGATCAGCAGGCAAAAAAGTGAGTTACTGTCTGGTGTGACTGATCCTGATTACCAAGAGGAAATTGCATTGATATTACATAATGGAAATGAAAAAGAGTATGTCTGGAATACAGGAGATCCCTTAGGAAGTCTCTTAGTACTACCATGCCTTGTGATTAAAGTCAATGGAAAACTACAGCAACTCAATTCTGACATGACTACTAATGGCCCAGACCCTTCACGAATGAAGGTTTGGGTCATCCTACCATGCAAAGAACCACGACCAGCTGAAGTGCTTGCTGAGGGCAAAGGGAATATGGAATCAGTGGTGGAAGAAGGTAGTTCCAATACCAGTTACAACCATGTGACCAGTTGCAGAAACAAGGACTGTAACTGTTTTGAGTATTCCTTCCTTGTATATCAAATATTTTTATTTTCTTCACTTACAAAAGGTAAGATGTAAACAGGGCTAGTACATTTTTGATTGTATGCGTGTTAGTTGTGTCATCTTTAGGCACACACATGATATAATTACATTTACAGATTGTGTAAGGTTTAAGATGTGTACAAGTACCAAGCTGACAAGGGGCGGCCGGCAATGGTTAAAGTTGTGTGCCAACTTAGCTGGGCTATGATTCTCAGTGGTTTGGTTGTTACGTAATGATGTAGTTATCTTCCATTTTGTGATATAATGTAATGACCTCCATGATATGATATTTTTCTCAGTCTGCATCCAATATACATGGATATTCCAGCAAAGCTTGCTGGCTTTTGCTCTCTGGATCCTGCATCCTGTTTGTCATCATCTGACCTCTGGTTCTTGGGATTTGAGCCAACAGTCCGCTGTACTGTCTGCCAAACTTGGGATTTGTCAGTCTCCGCAGCCTGTGAGCCAGCAGCCTGCTGTCTGACCTACCGATCTTGGGTTTGTCAGCCCCTGCAGCTACGTGAGTCAGGAGAAGCCTCCTACCTGCTGCGTGACCCACAGATTTGGGACTTGCCAGCCTCTACAAACACAAGCCATTTCATTGAGATGGATCTCTCTCCTGCTTGCTATATATATATTATATAATACATATGCTTCACTGGTGTTGCTTCCATGGAGAACCCCGTCTAAGACATGTGCTATTTAAGGATTATTCTGCTGTGTAACAGACTCTTGAAGACTGAAGTTTGTGACTAAAGTGCTTACTCTGTCAAAACTTCAGATCTTCCCTTCCTATGCAGATGAGCTGATGACTATGAAAAGTTCAGCCTCTACAGCAGCCCTTCATACACATTACTTTCATAAAGTCTTTTTCCTGGTTTGGCTTGAAAATACATATAAAGTCTTGAGTTCTAGAGTCCTCAAATTACATCTACTAATAACATTTCTCACTTAAAATGCACTCTCTGATGATTTCGCAGACGTGAGCTTTGAGTGTAGCTTTTTCCACACTCCTCACACTTATAGGGTCTCTCTCCTGTGTGGACTCTCTGATGAACTTGCAGAGAGGAGCTTTGACTAAAGCCCTTCCCACACTCTTCACACCTGTAGGGCTTCTCTCCGGTGTGGACCCTCTGATGGCCATAAAGATGTGAGATCTGACTGTAGCTCTTTCCACATGTATCACATCTATATGGTTTCTCTCCGGTGTGTACTCTCTCATGGCTGAGCAGACCCGAGCTGAACCTGAAGCCCTTTCCACACTCCAGACACTTATAGGGTTTCTCTCCTGTGTGTAATCTCTGATGGGTGCGAAGATTAGAGCTATAACTGAAACCCTTGCCACACTCATCACACGTATAGGGTTTCTTTCCCGTGTGGACTCGCTGATGTTTGTGAAGATTTGAGGTGCACCTAAAGCCCTTGCCACACTCTTCACACTTATAAGGCTTCTCGCCGGTGTGGACTCTCTGGTGAGTGAGCAGTACTGAGCTATAACTGAAGCCTTTGCCGCATTCAGCACACTTATAGGGTTTCTCTCCCGTGTGGACTCTCTGATGAATGAGGAGGTCAGAACTGAAAATAAAGCCTTTACCACACACATCACATACGTAGGGCCTCTCTCCAGTGTGGACTTTCTTGTGACTATGAAGGTCTGAAATCCGCCAGAAGCCCTTCCCACACTCGAGGCATGTAAAGGGTTTCTCTCCTGTGTGGACCCTCTGATGGACTTGGAGGTCCCAGCTTCGGCCGAAGCCCTTCCCGCACTCACACTTGAAGGGCTTCTCTCCTGTGTGCAGTTTCTGATGCATGAGGAACCCTGCGCTGTAACTGAAACTCTCACCACACACATCACACTCATAGATGCGCTGCCCTGTGTGAATTCGCTGATGAGCTTGAAGGTACGAGTTGTAACTGAAACTTTTACCACACTCATCACATTGGTAGGCTTTCTCTCTTGTGTGTGTTTTTTGGTGACTGCTAAGATGTGAGCTACGAGCCAATTCTTTTCCATACTCACCACAGTTATCAAGTTTTTCTCCTAGGTGGACATGCTGGTGCTTACGGAGTGCAGAATTGGCACAGAACCCTTCACCACACTCATTGCATGTGTAGGGCTTCTCTCCTGTGTGCAGACTCTGATGGACTTGAAGTACGGAGCTGTAATTGAAGTCCTTTCCACACCTGCTGCATTTATACGGTTTCTCTCCAGTGTGGACTCTCTGATGGACAAGCAGGTTGGAGCTTTGACCAAAGGTCTTACCACACTCCTCACATTCATAGGGTTTCTTTCCTGTGTGCAGTCCATGATGAATAAGAAGAACAGACTTATACCTGAATTGCTTCCCACAAATATCACATTTGTAGGGCGTCTCACCTGTGTAGACCTTAAGAGGGTCAACACTTTGCCTGGAGCCCTGACTACACTCAACACTTGTAGATGATACCCCTCCTAAGGGGATGCTTTGATGTCTGTCAGGATAGGCACTCTGCCTCACTTCCTCCTGATATTTATAGGGTTTCTCTTCCAAGTGTATTTGTGGATGAGTGGGAGGGTTTGAATCATCCCTGAAGCCATTTGCACCTTCCTCACTTTTAAAGCCATTCTCGCTAGAGTTTTGGTGATAAAGTATTGCCTTGTCAACACAGTGAGTTTGATACTCATCGCATTCATAAGGTTTCTCTCCTTCAGGTGGGTAGTGATCATCGCGGCAATGGGATATCCAGCTGAAGCCATAATCATCCCAATCACATTTATACAGTGTATCTTCCGTGGTGACTTTTTTACAGCTTCCTTGAACATTCCAAGGCTCATTCACAAGTGCCCAAGGTTCCTGAATGGGGACCGGGCTCACAGCTTTCCCGGCTGGAAACCCTTGATTTTCAACACTGATGGGGCCATTCCCTTGAAGACTGTCCACCACATTCTCAATCTGAAAGCCCTTAGATTTGCCTTCCCACCCTTGACAGCGAGAAGCATCTTCCAAAAACTGGAAATCTTTCCCTTGAAGATTCCCTCGGTGGTCCTGACTCCCAGTTAATTCACCCGTCACCTGTTCCCACAGTTTCCAGTAAGAGAGCTCTTTGTGTAAAAGGACTTTTAATTCTTTTTCTTGAATATACTCCATATCCTTTTCATGCTTGTCTCCTATGAGGTTAAAGACAATTCAGAGATGAGAATAAGTTAAAGACTGGCTCAGGGATTTCAGCCTTTCACACTTGGACCATAATGGCCTACAGAAAAATTCAGCTTTAGGCATCGTAACCATCAGGTCACTTATTTTTATGTCTGAGAAAAGGAAGAGGCTCCTATTAACAAGCCTTGAAACCAAATGCTAATATGAACAGATTATGCCTCATCAGAGAGTTGCACAGCAAAAGGAATTCTGAACAGATTTTTACAAAGAAAATCATTTCTCTAATCATGTTGCAGTTGCTAATAATATGTAACACTATGACGTCACTATATGTATATCACTGTACATACAGGCAGGGTCAAGGGTGGGCAATGGGGCATGCCTGTGGCAAGCGCGCCTACTCACTGCCCAGCCGGGCTCTCATCTCCATGGCTCTCACCTGGATAAGCATCTGCTGGAGCTTCTCTCTCCGTCACCCAGGTTTCTTTATCTTGTTCCAAATGGGATATCTTCCCAGATTTGAAAGGCTGTTGCCCTGAAAATGCAAGAAGATGCAAGGTTTAGGCTCGCTTTCTAGACATAAAAATAACATGCAAATGTAGTCCCAATCCCATGATCTTCAGGCGTTCGAAGGACAGACAAGTAAAAGATCCAGGACTGGCCAAATAAAGCGACTTTAGGACAGTTCTACAAATAAAGGTTTTAACCTGGGTATAAAGACCAGAACATCCTCTCTAGGGAATAAGAACAATCCAATAAGTTAAGTTTCAGTACCCGGAGGGGTTGCCCTTACCCGCAGAGACCAGGTTCCTGAAGCTCTCCAGCATCACATCTCTGTACAGCTTCCTCTGGTCAGAGTCCAACAGTTCCAGCTCCTCCTCGGTGAAGACCACAGCCACGTCCTTGAACGTCAACGACTCCTAAAATGTGAAGCACCATTAACACAAACATCCACTAGATGAAAGGTAAATTCGGCATTATTAAGAAAAGCAGATAAGAAAGCAGGAAGTTGATCAGTGTGGAGAGTCACACCAAGTGTTATGACAGGTGCCCGTAATTTCGAGTGCACCAACTGGTCTCCCGTGGTTGGCCAGAGTAAAGCAAGGAACATTCTTTGCTCAGCGTCAGCACTTCAGAGAGTCATTCCTAGCACTGAAATTGTTGAATCACAGAGTCTGCACATTTCACAACTGGACTCAAACTTAGAGACTACCAACTTTTCCTCCAGAAAGACTGACAACTTAAGTTCCGACAGTGCCTAATCCAGAGTGCCCATGCCTACACACATACTCCACCTGAGTATTATCACTGCTCTCTGCCAGATGAGAGTTCCTCACCAATCACCCATCCCCTCACCCCACCATAAGGAGTTGGACAAATCCTGCTCTTTGCCGCCACCAATCAATAAGTTGCCATTGAGTCAATCCTGACCCACGGCGACCCCACGTATGTCAGAGTAGAACTGTGCTCCATAGGGTTTCCAATGGCTGAATTTTTGGAAGCAGACTGCCCTTTTCCCCAAGGTATCTCTGGTAGACTCGAACCTCCAAACCTTTTGGTTAGCAGCTGAATGTGTTAACCATTTGCAGCACCCAGGGGCTCCTTTCTTGCCACAGCCCCCCTTTCCACAGTTTTCCATGTTAGCACTTGGCCAAAAGCAACTAGCATATGTTGGTGCAACATCTTCCCAGCCAGGTAAGACCTCTAAAGCAGCAGTTCAAACCGTGGAGTTTCAAACTATGCTGTGTCATCCCCGGTTAAGAAGTAGAGCACAAGTTTTTTAAGCTAATAGCTCCAGTAAGAAAACATGGCAGTTACGTATTTTGAAATACAGCTCTCAACTATATCACGATGACATCATCACTTTCACTCGCTTGGATTGTGACATGCTTTCTAGAGAGAAGGACAAGTGTACATGCGGGCTTTCACGATTACTCCACCTGCAGCCTGTCCCTGGAATACCTGTGGCAAGGCTTACAAGGTGAGAGTGAGTTGTGATTCCACAGGTACTTCACTTTTTTTTAGACCATGGATACATTTTTAATAAGAAAGAAGGCGAGGTAGCTATAGAAAGGTTTACTGCATGAACACCAACCTATTACTCATATAAGAAATGGTCGGTGTTACTCCCCAGGGATTAGAGACAAGCAAGAAAGACACAGTGCTGCCTCCGTGGGTCTTGTGTTGGGGGTCCTCAAGATCACCCCCAGGTTCCAGGATTCACCAGGAGGACTCACAGGACTCGGCATAGTCATACTCATGGCTGTGATTCATTACAGCAAAAGGATATACAGCAAAATCAGCACAGGGAAAAAGCACACGGGGTGAAATCCAGAGGAAACCACGCACAAGCTTCCAAGAGTTCTCTCCTCTTGCAGCCACACATGACATGCTTCATTTTTCTAACAGATTGTGACAACCCGTGTGAAATGTGGTCTACCAGGAAAGCTCGTTAGAGACTCAGTACCCCGGGTTTTTACTGAGGGCTGGGCACACAGGCAACGTCTGCCTAGCATGCACAAAATTCCAGACTCCCCGAAGAGAGCAGGTGTTCAGCATAAACCATACTGTCAGCACAGGCAGGTTAGGTACAGTCACCCATTTTTATCACGGAATGGTGGGAAGCTTCCTCAAATCGAGTTCACAGAAACTAAGAGCTGCATTCACTCGATTTTTTTGGAGAAGAGGGGCAGCTTGCCATTAAAAAAAAATAATAATTAGTAAGAATTCTTAGAAATGTACAAAATTACTGTAATTAAAAAAATTGCACACAAACACACACATAAAACCTCAAAAGATAAGCAATGATCATTCTTTGAATACTTGTTCTGATTTTGAATAAAATCTTGGAGTGGGAAATTCTGGATCAGAAGTACACACAAATTCTCAAATGCTGAAATGACTTTACTCCCCCTTCTGCCTGCAACTGTGTGGGTGCATCCATTTCTCCAGCCTGAGAGTAGACACTGATCTTTCAAATCTTGGGCCATCTGCTAGAAAAAAAATCATGTCTCGTTTCAATCTGCAATGCACTGATTAACAGTGAGGGTGATCATCTTTTTACATAATTACTGGTCATTTGTGTTTCTTCCCTTCTCCTTCCAGAACAAGAATGCTCAGGTCTTTATTTATTTATCTCTTTTTAAACTCCTCAAAACCAAAAAAATCCAAACTCATTGCCAGCAAGTTGGTTCCATATCATGGCAACTCTATAGGGCAGAGTAGAGGGTTTCCAAGGCTGACTCTGGACATGTTGTCAGGAGGGACCAGTCCCTGGAGAAGGACATCATGCTTGGTAAAGCAGAGGGCCAGCGAAAAAGAGGAAGACCCTCAACGAGATGGATTGACACAGTGGCTGCAACAATGGGCTCAAGCATAACGACAATTGTGAGCATGGTGTAGGACTGGGCAGTGTTTCGTTCTGTGGTGCATAGGGTTGCTATGAGTTGGAACTGACTTGATGGCACCTAACAGCAACAATCTTTCTGGAAGCGGACTGCCACATCTTTCTCCCTTGGAGTGGCTGGTGGGTTCAAACTGCCGACCATTTGGTTAGCAGCCGCATGCTTAACAACTGCGCCACCAGGGCTCCTTTTCTAAAGTAAAAATATTAAAATACTGGCATAGATGAAAGCCACCCCCACCCTATTATGCTTCTTAATTTTGTTCATGGTGTACTTTTTGGTATGGATGGTGTCTTAGTCATCTAGTGCTGCCATAACAGAAATACCACAAGTAGATGGTTTTAACGAAGAGAAATTTATTTCCTCACAGTCAAAGTAGGCTAAAAGTCCAAATTCAGGGCGTCAGCTCCAGGGGAAGGCTTTTTCTCTGTCGGCCTTCTTCTCTTCAGTGATCCCCCGGACTAGGAGCTTCTCTGCGCAGGGACCCCGGTCCAAAGGACGTGCGCTGCTCCCGGCACTGCTCTCTTGATGGTATGAGGTCCCCCTGTCTCACTGCTCACTTCTCTCTTTTATATCTCAAGAGATTGCCTCAGGACACAATCCAGTCTTGTAGATTGAGTCCTGCTTTACTAACACAACTGCCACCCATCCTCCCTCATTAGCATCATAGAGGCAGGATTTACAACATACAGGAAAATCACACAGTACCAGGAATCATGGCCCAGCCAAAGTGACACACACATTTTTTGGGGGACATAATTTAATCCATGACAGATGGAGAATATTGTATCTAGGAATGAATTTTAAAAAAGCCCCATAGAGGAGAAAGCCTCTGGCAAAGAAGGAGAATTCATTATTTGTAGTCACCTCACTACATAATTTGGGCCCAAGGCTCTAGATGAGACTAGTACTGACAGGTGGTACATAGAGCAGATAGGCAATTATGGAGTCGGTGGAGTAAAGGGTTAACCTAGCAGCCCTGGATTGTCCAAACCCTGCACATTCCAAAGAAAGGTTTGCCCTTGACCTACTGCTGGGAGATAACCTGTAAAACCTCAAATATCCTGCCTGATAAGAGTGACTTTGTTTACCTGGGGCTTTGGGCCACACCAGATCTTATGCTGACAATATGACTTACGGTGGGAGCCTTGGGCCACACCAGATAGCCTGCGCTAACAATGTGATTTACGGTGGGGGACGTGGGCCACTTTATCAGTTTGGCCTCTGGAAGGGCTGGAGACTGAGAAAGGTCAGCTATGCAACTTATTAGCCATGACTACATGACTGACCCCCAATATAAACCCTGGACTCCAAGGCTCAGGTGAGCTTCCCTGGTTGGCAATACTTCAAGCATGTTGTCATGTATCATTGCTGGGAGATTTAATTCAGCACCTTCTATAAAACTCCCCTGGGAGAGGACAACTGGAAGCTTGCAGCTGTTTTCTCCTGGCCTCTGCCCTACGTGACTTTTCTTGTTGCTGATTTTAATCTGCATCCTTTCGCTGTAATAAACAACATTTCCATGTACAACAGCTCTGCTGACTTCTGTGAGACCTTCTAGCTAATCATTGAACCTGAGGGTGGTCTTGGGGGCCCCTGACAACAGTCACGCTGACCTGGATTCATATCCAGGGTTTACCACTTGCTTCTTCATTGCTCAAATAGAACCACACCCCATCTGCCACAGCTGCTTTGTGGGTAAGTGCAGTGAGTAACGCAATGTACCTGCAGACCACATTTTCATCTGCTTTTCCTTTTATGAAGTAAGGGAGAGATGTTTACTTTCTGGTGCCCAAAGTGGTATTTCTGGAGAGAAAAGATGATTCAACCCACCTGAAACTTGGTCTTATCCTCTCCTTCTTCGGAAGGGGCTGAGGCTTGAGAACGAATTGCTGCAGGAAGAGAAAGAAGCCATGAGGAAGAGGAGGTGCCTTCTTTGAGCTCTTAGACAGTCTACCTGAATCTTAGGAAAGTGTGTAGATTTATATACTGGCTTCCTTGTAGCACAAGAATTGCTTATTCACCCAACTGTTTCCCCACCCACACCCAGCTTGGATTCTCCCATAGCCTTCATTAACTCTCACCTCTCTCCTCATGTCTTGAGGTCAAAGTCTCCATGGTCTCTTCTCCTGGGCTTTTTGAACACAGCAGCACTTTTATTTATTCTCTTCCTGAGCTGGAGAAGCAAAAAAAGCCAAAGGACTTCTTCATTCTAGAGATTCTCCAAGCTCTGGCAAGGAGTGTCAGATGGATACCTAAGGTCAGAAGTGTCTGCCTCCCCACTCTCTCTCCAGAGCCTGAGTGGTGCCCATATGCCAGGACCTGTGGACTCAACAGGGAAGTTCAGGTTCTTCTCCTGGCCTCAAAGCTCTGGGTCTCCAGCAGGGATCCCAGCCTCTGGATACTACTCATTCAGTGGACATTTAGGAAGTAGCTGTATTTATAGACCTGCTCTGGAGGGGCTCACAGTGCAGAGCCATTGACAGCGCAGGTGGCTGAGGATGGTCACAGAAGTGTCTGCAGGAGGGCCCAGCAGCTGAAGTCTCACAGGGAGACACACGGCCTTTCAGAACAGCTGGGGAGACCTTACACACTTATGGAAACTGTGCCCTTTACTAATACAAATCTTTTTAAACAAATTAAAAAAAAAAAAATACCCGCCTGTCTTCAAGGATTCGAAAACTCAGGATATAGGTTACCACATAGCTTTTAAATCAGAGGTTTGTAACCCTTTTGGTGCCATGGCCTCCCGTGACAGTTTGGTGATACTTATGGAGCCCTACTCAGAACGGTTTAAATGCATAAAATAAAACACACAACCAAAAAAAAAACCAAACCCACTGCCATCCAGTCAATTCCAACTCATAGAGACTCTATAGGACAGAAACGAATTGGCCCACAAGGTTTCCAAGGGGTGGCCAGTGGATTCAAACTGCCAACCTCTTGGTTATTAGCAGCTGAGCTCTTAACCACTGTGCCACCAGGGTTTCATGAAATACACAGGCCTATTTAAAAAGCCAATTATATTGAAATACAACCTTCAACAAAATTAAGTATGAAAAAAACTGAAACCATACATTCACTAGGAAACAGAAATTCCTTTATAACTTAGAAATCTAACATGATTATGTGTTTATAAAAATGTATATATATGTAATATGTAGTATATATTTCCTTATTAATGCATTAAGTATCAAGAATGAATTAACTACTGTAATTTCACAATAGTAATCAGCGTGAACAATATTTAAAAAAATCAGCACCATCTATAATACGACATAAAAAATTTTATCATTCGTATGGATAACAAAGTCACAGGTACTGGTCATACCACTGTGGCTTGCTGCCGACATTCACAATTGAAGGAAACGCTAATTTTCAGTTAGACTAAACTAGAGTAAATGTTTTTCCCACTCAAGTTCACGTTGTTGTTCTCGTGTGCCTTCAGGTTGACTCGGACTCCTAGGAACCCTAAAGGACAGAGAAAAGCTGCCCATAGGGTTTCCAAGGCTGTAATGTTTATAGAAGCAGACTGCCACATCCTTCTCCTGCAGACTGGCTGGTGGGTTCAAACCGACCTTTTGGTTAGCGGCCAAGCGCTTAATCACTGTGCGACTAAGGCTCCTTACTCAAGTTCATTGACCTGCTGAATTATGCCCATGGACTGCAGCTCAAGAACTCCTTTTCTAAATTAAGCGTTCTCCTGCCACCACCAGAAAAAATCATTCTGGGATCCAGTAATGCTCTGTTGGAATTGCTAGCCTCTAAATCATCAAGGGAATTGAGTCTTCTTCCTGTATTTACCTTTGCCATCTTGCACAGGTCTGGCACATCGGACGCACTTAAGCAATTCCATCAACAGGGTGTGACGCATAGAGATGACAGATATGGGCAAATGCCAGGGGAGTTTCATGCAGCTTGGTTGGTGCATCTGTTCAAGAAAGGGGCATTACACATGTCTTGAGCCAATGGGGCAGTCTGGGGAAGCTAACCACTGACCTCCTACTGCAATGCATTTTTGCCCGCATGGAGCAGGAGAACCCACAGGACCAGGACAGAGACAAGCCTATGCCACTCTTAGTCTGGGTTGGCAGGAACATGAGAACAATATTCCCACTCACAAAGGACTTCCCAAAGACTAAAAGCCACTGGTAACTGTTTATGACTCATCAGTGCTACATGATCCCATTCCAGGAGAGGATGTGGATGAAGGGTCCTGTCTCAGATGGCATTGGAGGCTTTCGTGAGACAAGGGCCTATTCAGTGGAAGACCCTCGGTCCCTTTTGTTGTCCCCAAGGATGATAGTGGGAGAGGTGGTAGAAAAGCTCCATTGCAACATTCTGCTTTGGGGTGGAAATGGCAGCATGGTGTCAGCCATTCCCACTGAGGCAGGGGTCAAAAAGGGAACTGGAAGAATGACCCAGGAAAGAGGAAGGAGAGGGTGGGGCCCACTCAAAGAGCAACGTGGCTTTGGTTGCTAAAACAAGGGATGGACAAAGCAGAAACTGATGGGACCCCTACAGAAGACCGTCACCAATGTTACTGGGTGGAGCGGGGGACTCTCTAACTTGGAAATTAGGGCACTGGTTCGAGCCATAAAGGAGCAATAAAGATAAGGTTCACAGGACTGGAAAGATTTAGAATCCTCCACAGCAGCCCTCTGAATTCCTGAACACAGTCTGGAGAAGAGGAGCACATGAGTTGCTAAGGCTTCCTTGTGCGCCAGCCAGGACCGTGACAAAGCTAATTCCAATTACGAGCGTGATGAGTCGGATAAAGAGGATGATTTCCCTTGCCTGTAGCTGGTTCTTGCTTCCTTCAAAAAAAATAATAATTAGGGGTGGGGCCAAGGTCTCCGGGTCCCCACTGGGCACCGGTGGCCCTATGCCCCCACGAGGGTGGAAGAGGAAGAAGATGGGATCCAAATCTTCATGGGGCTCTTAGATATAGGTACCCAAATGATGATAATCCTGGGCCTCCGCAGGGGTAAAGACAAGACACTTTGGGGGTGGATATGGTGACTGCTGTCAGGCAAGTGTACATGTTCTTGTGGGTGGGGCCTTTGGGACCACTGTGGGTGCCAGTGATCATAGTTCCCACCGCTGAATACATTACAGGCATTGACATTGTGGCCACTTGTGGCATGGAATACCGCTGTCCGCTGAGAAGGTATACCCTAACAACAAAGAACTGCAGCCATAACTGTGGAAGGTGTCCACTCCCACCAGCCACCCGAATTGTCCAAAGCCTGCCGGGTTACTCAACAAAAGCAGAACGGCACTCCAGGTGGAAGAGAACTTGACCCTGCTGGTTCAGAACTTGCTGCAGGAGGAGTGTTAAGGACCACCCTGTCGCAGTTTAACAGCCCAGTGTGAATGTCTGTGAAAAAGGCCTCAGGAGCCTGGAGGCTGACAACAGACTGCCACAGACCGCATGCGAGGACAACAGACGACTGCCACAGACCGCATGCGAGGTGCCGCTCTTGGCCCCTGCAGTACGTGGTCACACGGGGGACTAATACACCGTCACCGATCTGTCTAATGCCTCCTTTTACATCCCTTTGCAGGACAAAGATCAGGACCAATTTGCGTTTACGTGGAATGGCCTTACCAGTTAAAGCAGTTGCCATCAAGTTGACTCCAACTCATGGCGACCCCACGTGTGTCTGACTAGAACTGTGCTCTGTAGGCTTTTCAATGGCTGATTTTTCGGAAGTAGACTGCCAAGCCATTCTTCGGAGGCACCTTTGGGTGGGCTCAAACTTCCAACCTTTTGGTTAGCAGCCGAGTGTCTCCACTGTTTGTACTACCCAGGCTCCTACGGTGCACCTTCAGTGTACTTCTGCTGCAGGAATACTCAATTCCCCAGCAACATGCCACTAACGGGGAGGAGGGGCTACACTTGCAACAAGCCCAACTACTCCCAGAAAGACTTGTCATTCACGACATGGATGGCGTCCTCACTGCAGGCCCTGCATAAAGTCATAAACATTACAACATACACAGGTGAGGGCATCAAACCCGATAAGGTCCAAGGACCTAGCCAAAGTACACCAGGAATCAGACAACTAGCCCCAATGAGATTTTTAAAAATCACCATCCTTGGTAACAAAACCCGATGCCATTGAGTCGATTCCAACTCACAGCGACCCTATAAGGACAAAGGAGAACTGCCCCTGTAGGGTTTCCAAGGAGTGGCTGGTGGATTCGAACTGCTGACCTTTTGGGTAGCAGCTGAGCTCTTAACCACTGTGCCACCAGGGCTCTGTCCTTGGTAGTTCCTACCAATAAGAAAGAGGCTCAACGGCTGGTAGGCCTGTTTACTACTGGGGACAACATATAATAAATACATTGGGGCATTCTTCTGGCTCCTCTGGTTAAGCTTATTTGCAAGATGGCCACCTTTAAACGGAGCCTCCAACAATGGCAGGCTCTAGAGGCCGTTCAACACTCAATTGGGTGGACTCCGCCACTGGGGCCAATGAAGCCTGCCAGCCCTATGGAGCTGTGGTCTTGGTGACACCTACCAATGCGAACTGGAATCTATGACAACAGAAAACCACCAATGGGGTAGTCTGGCCCCTCAGGTTTTGGACACACAGACTAACTGAGGCAGCCACTAGGTACACCCCTTTCATGCAGCAGCTTTTAGCCTGTTATTGGGTCTTAGTGGAGAGTGAGCATTCAACCACTAAAGCACCCTGTATGACTTCAAGACCAGAACTGCCCGTCCCCACGTGAGAGTACTCACTAATCCTACTAATAAAATAGGACAGACTCAGTAGGGCTCCATTATTAAATGAAAATGATACACTCAAGATCAAGTCAATGCAGAAAAGGCATCTGATAAAATTCAACACCTTTTCCTGATAAAAACTCTCAGCAAAATAGGAATAGAAGAGAAATTTATCAATATAATTAAGGGCATATATTCAAAACCAACAGCCAACATTATTCTCTATGGAGAAAGACTGAGAGACTTCCCCTTGAAAATAGGAATGAGACAAGGATGCCCATTATCACCACTCATATACAATATTGCACTGGAAGTCCTAGCCAGAGCAATAAGGCAAGAAACAGAAATAAACGGTATCCAAACAGGAAAGGAAGAAGTAAAACTATCCCTATTTGCTTAACCATTGCACCACCAGGGCTCCTTAACACTCCTATACGAGACTAAAAGAGACCTACATAAATGGAAGCACAGTGCGTGCTCATGGATTGGAAGACTTAATATTGTGAAAATGTTGATACTACCCAAAGCAATCTATAGATACAACGCAATCCCGATCAGATGCAATTCAAATTCCAACAGCATTTTTTACTGAAAAGGAAAAACTAATCACCAACATTATACAGAAAGGAAAGAGGCCTTGAATAGCCAAAGCAATATTGAAGAAGAACAAAAAAAGAGGCCTTACACTCCTGAATCTTAAAACATATTATACAGCTGGAATTATTAAAATGGCCTGCTACTGGTTCAACGACAGTGAACCAGTGGACAGACACGTAGACTAGTGGAAGAGAATTGAGAACTCAGAAAAAAATGCATCCCTCTATGGGCAGCTGATTTTCAACAAGGTGTCAGAGACCATTCCATGGGGAAGAAACAGTGTCTTTAACAAATGGTGCTGTCAAAACTGGATATCCACTTGCAGAAAAATGAAACACGACCCATACCTCACGCCATACACAGAAACTAACTCCAAATGGATCAAAGACCTAAATGTTAAAGCTAAAACTATCAAGTTCTTAGAAGATAACACAGGGACAAAACGATGGGACCTAATAATAAAAAAAAAAAAACACAACTACAAATACACAAACAGCAGAAGATAAATTAGATCACTGGGACCTCTTAAAATTAAATACTTATGCTCATCAAAAGACTATCAAAAGAATAAAAAGACAACCTACAGCCTGGGAAGAAATCTTCAGGAGCAACATATCCAATAGGGATCTAATCTCTAAAATATACAGAAAACTCCCAACAACTCAACAACAACAACAACAACAAAAAACAATTTAAAAATGGGCAAAGGACATGCGCAGACACTTCACCAAAGAGGACACTCAAGTGGCCAACAGATACACAAAAAGATGTTCCAGAGCATTAGCCGTCAGAGAGACGCAAATCAAAACGACAGTGAGATAGCACCTCGCCCTTGTTAAAATGACGCTGATAAAAACACAAAAAACAAACAAAACCAAAAAACGACAAATGCTAGAGAGGATGTGGGGAGATTGGAACCCTTATCCATTGCTGGTGGAACTGTAAAATGGTACAACCACTATGGAAAACAGTAAGGTGCTTCCTCAAAAAACTAGCAATAGAGCTACCTTATGATCCAGCATCCCACTCGTTGATGTATCAGCACCCCGGAGATCTAACAGCCGTGACGAGAACACACATATGCACATCTATGTTCACTGCAGCATGCTTCACAATAGCAAAAAGACAGCAACAACCTAAGTGCCCATCAACAGACGAGCGGCTAAATGAAATGCGGTACATACATACAATGGAATACTATGCAGCCATAAAGAATAATGATGAGTTCTCGAAACATAACACGGATGAAGCTGGAGGGCATTACGCTGAATGAAATAAGTAAATCACAGAAGGACAAATATTTTATGATCTCACTTTTATAACAAGATGAGAATAGGTATATATACAGAGACTAACAACATTCATTGGTGATTATCAGGTATTTGGGGGGAGGGAATCACTCTCTAGAGAGTAGACACTTGTTGTTTTTGGTGATGGAAAACATAATACTAAATACGGGTAAAGTGTGCACAGCCTGACCAAGACAAAAGACGTCACTAAGACGTACCCAATACAAAAGGATCCTTCGGTAATTGCTATAACATATATAACTTTACAACAACAACCAAAAAATATATGTACAAGTATATATGTACGTATGTATGCATATATGTGTATAAGTATGTACATGGGGATATATATATGCGGGTATATATAGGTGTATGAATATGTATACCCATATGTATACATGTGTGTACATGCATATATACTAATATATATAATAAAACACATACGTGGCACAGTTACAGGTACTACTTAGACATAACCAAACACCTCGCGGAACTGCTTTTCTGGATTTGAAGGCTTAGGACTATAGTCTCATGGGACAACTCAGACGACTGGCATAATATAGTTCGTAAAATTTATATTCTGCATCCTAGTCTAGCGAATAGTGTCTAAGGTCTTGAAAGCTTCCAAATGGCCATCTAAGATACAACCATTGGTCTCTACTTATTCAGAACAAAAGAGATAGAAGAAAATTCAAAAGACAGAGAAGAAACTATAGCCTACAGGACAAATAGTCTACACGAACCGTGGCCTCATCTACCTTAAGACAAGAAGAACTAGATGGTGCTTGGCTGCCACTACTGATTGTTCTGATCAGGGCTACAATAGATGAATCCGGATAGAATGGGAAAAAAAGTGGAAAAGAACCTCAAATTCTGAAAAAAAAAAAAAAAAAAAATCCAGAATTACTGGACCGGCTGAGACGAGAGGACTCCCTGAGACTAGTGCCCTGACATAGTCTTTAAACCTTGAATGGAATCTATCCTGAGGTCACCTTTTAGCTATACATCAGACTGGCACACAAAATAAATATCACCCGTGAGTACTGCAGTCCTTTGAAAAAAATCACCTATATGAAACCAAAAGCTCCGCAATTACTTTAAAAAAAAAAAAAAAGATGATCAGAAGGTAAGGGGGCAGAGAATCTAGGTTACTGGAAACAGAACATCTAGAACGGAAATGAGAATGTTCATGCATTGTGAAGAACATAACCAGTGTCACTGAACAATGTGTGCAGAAACTGTTCAATGGGAACCTAATCTGCTGTGTAAACTTTCATGGAAAACCCAATAAAATATTACACAAAAACAAAAAGATCAAGTCAACCGGCTCCATAAACCAGCTGCAAGGGGCTGAACAGCCTGCAGGGGGAGCTCCTACCCCTTCTTTGACTAAGGTGGGCCCAGGGTTTAAAAATGTTCCAGTTGATAGCATGGCTTGGTCATCAGGCCCAAAGGTGATGGAGGCCATTGGGCTGCTGCAGCCATCCACCCTGAAGATGGCCACCTTCTGACTGAGACCGGATGAGGCCTTTCTGCCCAGTGGGCCAAATTCCATGCAGTGGTGATGGCTGTGCAGCCCACTCCAACAGCAACTTCCTGCTACATATTTACAGGTTCATGAGCTGATGCAAACAGGCTAGCCATATGGTCTGGTAACAGTCAGATCAATGGCTGGACTATTAAAGGCTCCCCTGTGTGGGAACAAAGACTATGGCAGTAGCTTGAGAGCTGGAAAAGAGATCTATTCATCACTCATGTTGACACAGTGGCAAAGGGTCGTTTGAAACAGACCATGAATAAACTTCCCACAATGGCCAAGCATATGTCCAACAAGTTGCCATGACTGCCCAGTGGGTCCACCACAGAACAGGACATGAAATCCCACCTCAGATGCAAGAATGGGCCAAATCATCAGGTCTCGCTCTCAAAAAAATGTAGAAGCCAAAGATGCAGCAGTCATATGAATCCTGCCAGCACCGAGCCCAGGCCATGCAACATAGCAAGCTGGGTCACATTAGCTGGGGATTAGGCCCAGCACAAATGCGGCCAACTGACCACAATGGATCGCCATTCCCTAGTCACTGGTTCTGTGGAAGGGGGCAGTCTGAGCACAGCCTGCCACCTTTCCCTGTGACCCACAAATGAACCTTGTGCTTAGGACCCATGTGTTGGTGTGGCTTCTTGGATGGGATGAGAGTGTGGGCTGACTCCCTTTTCTGGGGCATCTTGACCCAAAACACACCTTATAGCAGCTGCTGGGCTATCAGCACATCCCTCCCCTCTTGCCCTGAGCACATGTCAACATTCCTAGGAACTGCTTTGCTAAGCGTGTGACATCTGACCAACCCAGCTTCTACAACTGGTAGGGAGGGAATGGGGGTCATTCTCCTGCAGCACAAGAGGGATGTGTGCAGAGCATCTCCGAGTTGGCTGTGAAGTGAGACTGACATGCCGTGGCGGACCAACGCCCACTACTGAAGCTTACCTTGCTCTCTGTCTTTTGTCTATGTCAGTAAAGTGATGTTCCACCCAGTGTCTGTGTGTGAGTTGTGTTTTTCTTGGCGACGCTGACTCTTGCAAGGCGTGAAGGGGGTTGACATCTAGTGTTGCTGCTCCTGGTGGCAGGCACTGTTATGCTCTTTGCTATTCTCCATGTGGTGGAACTCCTCCCCTGGAGGTGGTAACAGGTGTCACCTGCTCTATAAATACACTCAATAAAAACACTGGGGAACTCCTCAGCCTTAGAAGAAACATACTTCTGGCGGGAGGCAGCTGTGGCTAAGGGGCTTGGATGGGCATTTGACAAAAACAGGGAAAAAAGAATGAGGTCAGGAAAGCTGGCCTCCCTGTGGGGAAAGAGGTGGCATTTCATAAAAGAAAGCAAAATAACAAAACAAAACAGAAAACAACGTGCTACTTACCTCAACTCTAACAGAAGTAGTCCAGAGGTTACTCCTTCGTTTTCTGTGCAGTTGTCTCTGGGAACGGCACCATCCCAAGAATGCAAACCAACCACATGAAAGAAAAATGAGCAATGAGATAACAGATTTTATCACAATTCTCAACACACCACTGAAGGAAAACTTTGCACACCAGTGGGATGTAATCTACTCTCCCCCCCCCCCCAAAAACAAAGGACTCAGGAGTCCAGATTGGAGCCTCCCTCCCGACCTGCCTCAGAGATGGGCCCACACCTTGCTGCTTGGGGCCCTGTCCACAGCCTACACTCACTGTAGCTTCCAGGACACAATGAGACTCAGTATGCAATCTCAAAATTTGAATTCAGAGCTCTTACATGCTGTGTGATACCAAGGGTGGATTCAACCTGTGTGTGACTCAAAAACAAACAAACAAACCCGTGGACCTTCGAGTCGATTCTGACTCATAGCGATCCTATAGGACAGGGCAGAACTGCCCCATAGGGTTTCCAAGGAGCGCCTGGTGGATTCGAACTACGTATTCTTTGGTTAGCAGTCAAGCTCTTAACCATTGTGCCACCGGGAGCCAGCAACAATACATCTAAATAACTCTTACAACTCGTACACAGCTTAATCATTCTCAAAGCACTACATACGGAACGCGAGGAATCAACTCCTGCAGCTCTTTACAGAAATGACGTCAGATAGAACTTTGAAATTAGTAAAGAAGTTGCTGGGCGTCTGCCTTGAAAGGATTAAAAGCATCATCAATCCGCGACTGCCCAGAATCGAGTCTCCCAAACTGGGAGATGTGCGTCTCAAAGGCGGTGCTGCCGGCCCCGGACCGTTCCTTCCAAGACTGGGGGTGCCGGGGGCAACCGGCCCCAAACCCATGGCAGCCCGGGGCGAGCCCAGCTCCGCCGTCCACCCCGGGATGATCGGTGCCGTCCTCAAACTCTTCCTACGCCAGGCTGATCTCCACAAAATCCCCTGGCTCCGACATACGCCCCATACCGTCCCTTCTCCCTCGAAGTCTTAGAGAACCCGCCCTTGCTCCTGAGCCAGAACGAAGACCCTAAGGAAGACCCACGTACCTGAAATGACTCACCATAGAGAAGAAACAACCCCAGCTATATACTGGCCGGAAGTGGAAGTGGGTGACTACGGAGGGACCGGACTACACTTCCCAGAACGCTCTGCGGTTATTAGTTAGGCTCCAGATGGTGATGTAAGTGAGCGTTCGCCGCCAGTCCGTCCCAGAAGCAGGCAGCGGGCGTGGCGCACTGCAATTAAAGGGGCTGACCAGATTTCTGCGCTCACTGTTGCGGCGTCACAGAGTCTTCCTTTTTTTTATCCTTTAAAAAAAAAAGAAAATAATTACTTGTCATGAATATGGGCACGTTGTAGAAGATTTGACAATATACTCAAACATATCCATTATTCCACCACCAAGAGATACTAAGCATTCTTGACGTTTTGGTATAAAGTGTATTTAATCTTTTATTTCAAAAGTAGTACATGTTCCAAGTAAGAAAAAATCAAAGAACACAATTAAAGTCCCTTGTAATCCTACCGCCCAGAGACAAACATCATTAATGTCTTGTTTTACGTATTTCCTGATCTCCTATATGAATGTATGTTTTAAAACCTCCCCCCTCAAGAAAAAATAGCATATTTTGTAACCGTTTTTTTTTTCCTCCCACTTCCTATATCAGAGACAGCTTTCTATGTCACTAAGTAATGAAATCATTTAAAGTGGTTGCTAAGGATTCTTTCTGTTTTAGATATTGTACCACCCTGTCCTCCAATGAAGTTAAGGGTCCAATCTCAGTGTATCCACACTAGGAAGAATGATTTTCTTTAATTTTTTCCCGATCTGATAGACCAAACATGCTGTCTCATTATTAACTGCATTTCTTTGCTCATGGATATGTTAAATAGGTGCTGCCATATCTATCAATGTCGGGTGAATTATCTGTTTACATCCCATCTTAGCTAGAGCTGCTGTAACAAAACTACTACAAGGGAGGGTCTTCGACAACATAAATTAACTTTCTCACAGTTCTGGAGGCTAAAAGTCCAAATCAGGGGTTCAGCTGTGTCCACTCCTTCCTTGTCTGTAGCTTCCGGAGTTCCTTGCTTGTAGACAATCTTCACATGGGGTCTGTCTTACCGGTACTATGCCTGTGCATCTGCGTCTATTCTGGTCTTTTTATAACTCAGAAGTGATTAAGCTTAAGGTCCACCTTACAATGGTATGATCTCAAGTGATTGATTGATTACATTACATTACATTACATTATGGAAAGAGATTACATTACATTAGATGTAAGGTAATTACATTACGTTACATGAGATTGCATTATGGAAGGGAATGTGCTCTACCCTAGGGCAACTGATTTAATTGCATGATTAAATCACAGCAGCATATGGCCAGGACTTCAATACATATTTTGGGGCACAAAATTCTATCCATAAAATATCCTTTGCCAATGTTAATGTTTTATTTATTTTTTTGTAACTTCTCTTTTTATACAAATGATATAGACTCTTTCTTATACAATGATTCTGCCCCCCCCCCCCCACATTAGTTTTGTTTTTTATGAAGTAAAAAAGTTTAAAATATCTTTATCTGGTCAAATTTATCAGTCTTTTCAGTTTGGATTCTGTATTTTTCTATATAATTATAAATATTTTCTTTTTCTTTATTCCTAATAAACACTCATCTATATTCACGCTGGATGATGAATAAGGAAGACCAAAGAAGAACTGATGCCTTGGAATGGTGGTGTTGGCAAAGAATATTGAATATACCATGGACTGCCAAAAGAATGAACAAATCTGTCTTGGAAGAGGTACAACCAGAGTGCTTTTTAGAAGCAAAGATGGCGAGACTACATCTCACATACTTTGGACATGTTATCAAGAGGGTTAAGTCCCTGGAGAAGGACATCATGCTTGGCAAAGTAGAGGGTCAGTGAAAAAGAGGAAGACCCTCAATGAGATGGATTGACACAGTGGCTGCAGCAATGGGCTCAAGCATAACAAAGATTATGAGGACGGCACAGGACCGGACAGTGTTTCGTTCTGTTGTACATCGGGTCCCTATGAGTCGGAACCAACTCTACGCACCTAACAACAACAACAACATATTCACTTCTAGTGCTTTCATTGTTCTATTCAATCCCTGTGTGATATACTTCACTGTATGGTACGGGAAAGGGTTCTAGTTTTCTTTTGCACCAAATAGTTGTCAAGCTTTCCCAACAATATTTACTGAAAACTTCATTATTTCCCTACTAATTTAAAATGTCATCTTAATTATTTACTACATTATGCTATATACTTAGATATTTTCCAGGACATAGTTCCATTCCAATGATAGAAATTTCTTTTTCTGCACCAGAACGACAGGTTTTAATTAAAGTGATATTATAACACATTTCCTTATCCCTCCCTGCTTATTCCTTAAAATTTTTTTTTTCATCCTAGAAATTCTAGCACTTCTCTTCCAGACAAGCTATTAAATAATTTTGACAGATTTCTCAGAAGTTGTCAAGAGTTCTCCACTGATTAGAATATAATCCCAATCACAGAATCAGAAGACTCTAGGCGTTTGCTCACGAACCCACTTTTCTTTGCTTACGTATGAACAGTCTTATTTGCCAGCCCATTTTCTGCTATTTTTTGCATCCCTCTGTCTCTGCTGCCCTTGTTCTTTCCTCTGAGATGCACATCCACTCCTTCATTTTTGAAGTATTATGCAGCCTTTAAAACCCAGCTCAAATATCACTGCTTCCACAGCATCCTTTTGAGCTCCACATCATCATTAAATGAACAAATCCGCCTCTGCTTGGGGAGTGAGGATCACATGATTTCACTCTTGGGTTAATGTGATCACCCTCTCAGCACTTCCTTATTTCCTTGGGAAATAAATAAATTGTAGTTTCTTCACCTGCAGAACTCAGGGCCAACCCCTGTAAGATGTGGGCAGACAGATCTTTTCCATGGTCCTAAATGAAATCTCAAACTCCATGCCCCCTCATATAAACTGCAAAACACTACGTGGAAAGTCAGTGCCAACTCGGTTTGAAAATGCTACAATTTTTCACTCCTTGTCAGTTTGCCATTGCTACAGGGACACAAATATTATAAGGTACAAGGGAACCCAAATCTATGTGATGTTGTTGGGTGCCATCAAGTTGGTTCCGACTCGTAACGACCCTACGTACAACACAATGAAACACTGCCCAGTCCTGCGCCATCCTCACAATCCCTGTTATGCTTGAGCCCATCGCTGCAGCCACTGTGTCAATCCATGTCGTTGAGGGTCTTCCTCTTTTTCGCTGACTCTCTACCAACCATGATGTTCTTCTCCAGGGACTTAACCCTCCTGATAACATGTCTAAAGTATGTGAGACGTAGTCTTGCCATCTTTGCTCTAAGGAGCATTCTGCCTGTACTTCTTCCAAGACAAATTTTTTCATTCTTTTGGCAGTCCATGGTATATTCAACATTCTTCCCCAACACCACAATTCAAAGGCGTCAGTTCTTCTTTGGTCTTCCTTACTCATCGTCCAGCTTTCACACACATATGAGGCGTTGAAAACACCATGGCTTGGGTCAGGTGCACCTTAGTCTTCAAGGTGACGTCTTTGCTCTTCAACACTTTAAAGAGGTCTTTTGCAGCAGATTTGCCCAATGCAATGAGTCTTTTGATTTCTTGACTGCTGCTTCCATGGGTGTTGATTGTGAATCCAAGTAAAATGAAATCCTTGACAACTTCAATCTTTTCTCCATTTCTCATGATATTGCTTAGTGGTCCAGTTGTGAGGATTTTTGTTTTCTTTATGTTGAGGTGTAATCCATACTGAAGGCTGTGGTCTTTGATCTTCATCAGTAAGTGCTTCAAGTCCTCTTCACTTTCAGCAAACAGGATTGTGTCATCTGCATAATGCAGGTTGTTAATGAGTCTTCCTCTAATCCTAATGCCCCATTGTTCTTCCTGTAGTCCAGCTTCTCAGATTATTCGCTCAGCATACAGATTGAACACGTATGGCGAAACTATACAACCCTGAAGCACACCTTTCCTGACTCTAAACCACACAGTTCCACTTGTTCTGTTTGAACGACTGCCTCTTGATCTATGTACAGGTTCCTTATGAGCACAATTAAGTGTCCTGGAAT